AGGCGGACGGCGCCTGGCTCGGGCTGCAAGACCCACCCGAGAAATGCCCCGGGAGGTGCCGGGCGTCGTGTGGACTGCAGCGTGCGTGGGGCCGGCTGGGAATCAGCCCCGTGCCAGTGTCCCGTGGGACTGACGTTGTGCGTGGAGGCTGGATAACCCCACCTGTGTGCTCTGGCGCTTCACAGAGGTAGGAGGCTGCCCGGGCAGACCCCTGTGCTGGCAGTACAGTGACCACCGGTGAGAGGGGACCCTCCCATTGCAGCCTTTCAGGGGCACCTCGTCCCTGCCTACTGCCTGCAAAGTTTGACACGAGACATGGCGGTGGCAAGTTGGTGGGTCCGAACGCAGCTCACTGCTGGCTCCTGGAAGGGAGATGGGAAGAAAAGGAGACTGAAAAAGTGTCACTGTGGGATAAAGCTGCATGTTCCGTAGGAGTTTTGGGCTCTGGAGCTGATGACTTGTCTCATTTCTCTTATCCCTGCCATGTTTAGGCATCAGGTCGACCTCAAACCTACTGTCTTCACCCTCATTTTTTCCATGCTCATTTCTTTCATTCTCGGTCACTTTGGAGTGTCGGGAACTAACCTCACTATTAGGTTAAGTTCTGAGTGACGTAATTGAAATTCAGAGTAATTCACAGTTCTTGTTAGCTAAGTAGCTTTGTGATGACAAGCTAAATGTCACATGCTTCCTAGTCTTCAGCTCTGCTGCCAGCCTGCTCTCCACGGAGAGCGACTTTTTTTGGAACAGCTTCATGGATCCTGGGCTCTACTCCACTTTCAGCTGGTTTTATTTTAAATTCCTGATATTTCTTTTTTCAGGTCTATTCTCAAATATCTGGTTATGGCGAGGTGTCGCTGGAGTCCTTACTGCTGCTGTCATTTTGATTTTGTCTATTCAGTTTGGTAAGTGTGTAAATCATTTAAAAAGAAAATATGATTAGCCTTAGAAATTGCCAGATAAAATACATATTCTGGTCAGAAGACCCTCAAAACCTCAAAAGGTTTATTCAGAACTTACCTTATCTCAAAGTTAAATAGATGTCTCATGACATAGTGTTTAAAATTGCGGTTAAGTGCTGGAGAAATTACTCCACTAGTTGCAGTGGTGTTAGGGGTGCTCAGTTTAGTCTTACTGTACTTCTGGCATTCAAGTTTATAACCTTACTCTTGGTCTTTATCCAAGTTCAAGAAAACAAATAACAAATGGAAGATTGTTCTTTGCAACCAATCTGTAGTCCTTCAAAAAATGACACTTTAATAAACAAAGCTATTAATTCAGCTGCAAGGAAGCAACAATTGCAAAAACTATAGTTGTCAGAAATATTTAAGTTGTAGAAGAGTCCTTGGAGGATATGTTCTTATCACCTTCTCAGCTACATCTACCAACCTGCCCCTGATCATCACTTTAAGGGTATGTCAGCAACCATAAAGGTTTACAATAGTTTACAGTAATTATTTCTGCTGGGCAGAAGTAATAACGCCATGGTTAGACTTAGATAATGTTAAGTGATGCAGTCAGAAGGCAAGCTAAAAAGCTCCAGAAACCTTTTCCAGTTGGAAGAAATAGGTAGATTGGTCTTTGTCTTTTTGCAGTAAACCGTTCTTTGGCCGAAGATTTTCCTGTCTGTCCTTCCCTGGAACTCTGTCCATCAGGTTGGCTGTATTTCCAGAGGAAATGCTACTACCTCTCGGAGAGTGAAGCCAACTGGAACTCCAGTCAGAGCCTCTGCTCTTTGCACAATGCTTCCCTCCTGGTGATCGAAGATCATCAAGAGCTGGTAAGGGAACAAATGGGGGGTCCTGGTTTCACCCATCTCACTTCTAGGGAGCTGCACAACGAGCCAGTGTGTTTCTCCAGCCTCTTAAGCTGAGCGGTTTGAAAGCTGATGTAAAGACCGTGACAAGTCACAGCTTGCAGAAAGCTGCGTGCCTCCTCTCCCTGCAAACAGCAAACATCAGTTTTAGCAGTTGATGTTTTAGAAAATGCCTGAGGCTTATCTGAGTTAAATTAGATGCTGCTCACAGCCATAAATAGTCACACTGAAGGCAACTATCAGGGTAAGCACTGCTGTGTCTCATTTATCTTTAATTAGACAACTGTTCTCTCTTAGCAAGATAGGTTAATGACAACCAAGTTGGTAGGTATGTTTGTTAGTCTTGGCCTTTGGAGTTAGGAGATAGTTACCGTAACCACGGCTTGGAACATCTTTTTCTGTATTATACTGCAATGTTAGGAAAGACTCCACCCAGCACAAGGACCTAGGAGAATATATTCTTCCATATCTGTTACAGACCCTGATAGCAGACCTTGATATTTTAAAACAGCCTCTCTCTAGGTCAGTCAACCCTATCAACAGACACCAGTATAATGGGCATACTGGATGCAGATGTCAATCCTGTTGCACACGCTGAGGCAAGGATCTTCCTTTACTAATTTCTAAAATGTCTTCCACAAATCCTTGCTAGCTGATAATAAAAGGTCAATATGATGCAGACACATCAGCGATGGAGAAATGCATTAGCTGCAACGGTGTTCATCGTTCTTTGGAAACTTTCTTGTGGAGAGACAGTAAAATGATGCGTTTGCAGTTCCACAGCAGTTCTTGATATTCAGTAGTATACTTGTGTTCTCGTAGTTGGCATTTCTGTCACTACAATATCTGAGTCCTGCAGGGATCCTGTCTCAAAATCAATCCATTTGATTTCTGATCGAGTTGTAAATTCTACTTCAGTTATGTGAATTGCACAAGATCCAGATGCTGCAGTACTCTGTAGATTTAATCTTTAATATTGTTTCTTCTGGGAGAAAGGCAAGATCATTGTTTTGCTTTCTAGCCCTGGATCAAAGACTTTGTATTTTGATAATTGGACTGAACATGCAAAACTTATTTTCTCATACGGGTTTATTCCTACAGAGTTTTATGGTGAAGATAACAAAGCAAGACCCGTGGATTGGACTCTATAAAAGAAATGAAGAGTTCTTTTGGGTAAATGGGAAAGCATTAGACAATAAACTGTAAGTCGATGTTGAGGGGTTTTGCTGGTGATACTAAATTATAGAGGAGTAAGAGAGGATAACTAACGCAGATATAGGCAGTGACTTGAAAGAAATATCTGTAATGAAGTTGAAGGGATGACTCTGGAAAGAGCATGGAATACAACAAAGATTTCACATAACATTGTTAAAACTGTGACGGATGAAAGTTAGGAGATAAATTTGTAATGCCAGGTTCAGAAGCAACATGAGACAGGAGCTCGTGGTAACAGACAGTATAGCAAAGTGAAAGTTAAACCAAGAGACCACCAAGACACCAAAGCAATGGGGGGAGGAATGGAAGTTACAATAACACAAATTCCTCGTTACAGAATATATTTTGCAAAAGTGCAAACCTGCGTGCAACCTGTGTGAGGTTTATAGCAAAGATATCTGGGAGGCTTCTAAGAGATGTTTTCATACTTCTTATGGCATGTACCTACATAAAAGGCTGCTGGAGGGAAAGGTGAAGCTGTGAATTTACATTGCATGAGCTACTCTGTGGTCATGGCCCTGTGCTCTGTCCCACCGGTGTCAGGTGTGGGGCGGTTTGTTCCTCCCACCGACGGTTGTCCCATCTTCTCAGAGACTGCTGCTTCTTGTCCTGGGGCAGCTGCTGTCAGTAGAATTACCAGTGACAGTAATAAGCATTGAGATTTCACAAGTCTGAAATTAACCTAAAAGTATTTAAATTTTCCACTTTTTAAGTTTGTGACATCACTAGCGGTGCATGACCATATTCGGTTCATCCCCAAGGCTTGAGGGCTTGATCTGATAAAGACCTTACGCCTTTAATGTGAGATGTGAGCAGCACGTAGGCATCTCAAGTTGAAAATTGCAGTCCTTCCCACTCTGCCTTATCCCCTGCCTTCGATACAAACATCCACTGATGCTTTCATTTTCAGTGTTGAAGTTCTTTACATTCTTAGACTTCTGCCTCTGTGCATGCCTCAAACTGCCCCTCCTATCTTTAGAAGGGTGAACACCTTGAAGTCTAAGCTCAGTTGCTATTAGTCATGTTAATACTGGTGGGAATTTGTCCCTTGGCTTTTCCAGAGACCATACTAGTTTGGCTGGCCTATTCACAGAACACTGTAACACTTCGTTTGAAAACACAGTTGGCAAAGGAGACCCTTATGTCTTGCATAGGGACACTTACAGTGTGGAAACTGAGGTTCGCTTCCTGTTTTCCACCGCCCCCTTAACCATAGTGCCGTGTTCCGTTCTGAGGAAGAGGGAAATGAGAAAGGCATTTGTTTCACAGCTTCTGCTGGAATGTTTTAGCTGTGTAGAGGATGTGGAAGTCAAAGGTGGAGCCAGTCTTGATAGCACAGCATCCTTGAGAAGGGCAAACCTGAATTCCAATCTCCGCTCTAAGGGCATACTTCACATTAAGCGACCGCTAGACAAGATGCAGGAGTACTGCAAGTCCTAGATTTTGTATTCTGGGGGCCAGGTCCCATTAAAAAAAGACAATCTTTGTGGTGTTCTCTTCAAAGCACAAGCTATCGTCCTCCTGCAATGCCTTGCCTGTGGTAAATCAGGCTTTGTATGAAAAGAACCTGTGATCCCCATAGTTCCCTTTGCTCTATTGCATTATTTGATTGTGGGTGTTGAAGTCATCGTGTCTTTCATTCTCCCTTACAGGATTGAAGTAAAAGGCTCTGGAAACTGTGCCTATCTTGAGTCAAAAGGAGTCTCGGCCTCTGGATGTTATTTAACCAGGAAGTGGGTCTGTAGCTTGAATATTAGCTTAGCACGATAAAGCCACCACCCCTGACACTTAGCACTCTGATATGATGGCTACATGGGCTATGTCTATACTCTGGACCTGGGAACGCGTCTCAGCTCCTGCCTGGAGGTGAATGACTTTTCTGGTAGCCAGAATTCTCCACCCATGGAGGAAGCCTGCGTTTTTTAACGATGTCATTTAAATAGCTTGCTTCAGCATCATTTCCTTGCCCTGTTTTTCTAGCTACTACTCAGCCTGTAGTTTCCTTTCTTTGTGTCATCAGTATTTCTTCCATCTTCTCTTGCAGGATCCTAAGCAGCTGCTCTTTCTTTTCCTTTTTGGTGTGCAGCTGGAGGTAATTGTTCTGCTTCTCCCTCAGCCAAGCTCTGTGTGCGGGGATGGGTTGTGCAGTGGGTCCGCCTGAAGGTCTGCCAGTGCCTCTCAGATACAAGGTAATGCAGAAATTGGCACTGTTGTTTTAGACAGGATCATTGCAGATTTCGCTCTGCCGGTTTGATGGGGTGCATCTTGTGCGACTCTGCATTGCATTCAATGTTTTGTTACTGTTATTTTACATTAATCTTGTTAAATTAGCTTGACAGTATTATCATTGGGATTTATGTAGGTGCACTGCACCTGCAGTTCGCCTTCCCACAGCACTTAACTTAGCCACAAAAAGTCAGAATAGGTAGAGTATTTATTGACCTGAGGATCTGCATTGATGGGGAAAAAGAGTTTGAACTGAAAAAGTAATAGGCAAGCTGCAGGCATTAATGTTGTAAAGTTAGAAGTAGCCATCAGTGCGAATAGGCAAAATCACGAGTAGAGAATAAGAGAATTAACAGCAAAGGACATTTCTCCGTGGTTTCCTCATGTCCTGTGCCTCTCAGAGCGTGAGGCTTCCGAGCAAATGATACATTTCTGGATGGACAATCAGTGTTTTGTTCTCTGTGTGTGTATTATTTTCAGCAGCAACACCCAGTGCTGTTGAATTGCTGTGAGCCTGCACAGAATTAGTGCACAATCCTGCTGAACTCCATCCACTCATGTCTAGCAGGTACCCTGAGGATTAAAAGTGATGTTTGACCCAGAGGAAGCAAAGCAGCTTATTTTCCTGGAGGGACTATTCCTATCGGGTTTCTAGAGAAGGAAGAATGGGGAATTTGCATGTATAGCAGGGCAAAATACTTCCCTGCTCGGAATAAAATCTGGAAAATTGGTTTTCTTGTGATCTGGATGCTAGAAAGAGGACTATGGACTCCGCGGGACTTCTTGAAGGAGCAAGTGGAGCCATTTTTGGAGTAGCCACTAGAGTGCACTGTAGTTACAGAGAAAGGAAGATAACTGTCTTCTCATGTTTTAAGAATGTAAAATTGCACCATGTTTGACAGGTTATTTGGAGTATTGTTGGTTCGTTGGGGTTTTTTGTCCTATTTATAATTATTTTCACCCTTACTGTGTTTTTATGCAAATTTAATTGCTGTCTGGTTTTGTTCAGTGTCTTGTTTATGGCTTCATTATTTTCTGTGACAATAGGACTTTACTGTAACAGGACCATGCAGTATGGATATTGTTAACAACTTGTGACTTTAAGATGTTTATTTATATATGATCACTAATTTTGCTGAACTACACTTTTTTTAATTGCTTGTATTCTTTATAGGCACAGTAACAGGACTCTACAGTATGAATAGCCTAATAATCTGTGTGTTAATTTATATGTAACTAGTTGGGGGGCGTTATTCTGCAATGTTTTTAAATTTACTGTCTCTGAAAGATATGGTATGTGCAATAGTCCTGAAAAGATACTCAATAAATATCTTTACAGAGCCTCTGAATTACAGCGGTTTGTGTCTTAATGTCGTGCCATTAAAAGTATTTTTCAGCTCAGGCACCATTTGGGAAAAAAAAAAATCACTAGACTGAAGCAAAATAACATTTTCAGATTTTGAATATGAAAAGATCTTCAATCATAATGTTGGGGTTGACATGAGACAAGACATTTGACCCAAAAAAGAATGCATTTCACTTTCTAACACTTCTAACACATTTTCGCACTTCAAAATGTGTCTGACTTTCAGCAAAAGCATTTAACTGAAATGCTGAAGTACTTCTCTGGAAATGCTGAAATGCGCATAGTGAAACACACACAGTAGAGTAACTTTGGAGGGAAACGTGGAATTTTCCGCAGTTCACTCTTGCAAAATTTTCTGAGTATTTGCATTAGGGGCATGCTAGAGGTACATTTCACAAATTTAGTAGAAATTGTAAGGGATAAGGAGTACTCACGTACCGTGTTGTGTCTTAGCCTTTCTTAATGAGCTGTTTTACCTGCATGTTGCCTTTAACTACAAAATAACGTCGCTCTTACAGTTGTTTTCCTTCGGTGTCATCTATGGATAGAGTCTAAAAATGGGAAATTTTGGTTCTTAAAGAGGGTTTTGAAGAAACTGTGAGCACAGTAGGTTATAATGAAAGGTCTTTTGTAATCTGACTCTGAATGGGTGCAATTAGCATCTTCTTTAGTATCCAAAGTTTGTCATGCTAAGAAATGAAGGGTGAGGCTGCAAATGCTTTACTCAGAGTGGGTCTTAATGAAGTACTTCACTTCAATGGCCATTTTTTTTCTTTTTTTTTAAATCTGTGGAATTACTCAAGATTTAGCGACTGCTTAAAATGTAGGTAAGAGCTTCAGTAAGGCCCTGAAAAAACATGTTTAATTACATTAGTAATAGCAAGAATGCTCAAATACTGGATGTTTCATGAATATTGTTAAAACCTAAACACCACAACCAGTTTGAGAGAAGCCAGGTCAGGAGTTTAAGTTTTTCTTGTTAAATTCAGCACGGCTTGAGAAACATCTGCCATAAACACAGCAATTCAGCAGTCGTCAGCAATGCATGGAGAAGGGTATGCTTTAAGTACCCTGAAGTTACATTTTCTCAGTGGGGAATATATATATATAAAAAAAATACATATCTACTATATAGATAGATAGATCGATCTTACTCATTTCAGACTCCTTCCTTGCCTTTGCTTCTCTGTCTAGCATAAACAAACCAATCCTCTTCCCCACACACATGCTGCACTGAGTTTGGGGGATTTTTTATTGTTGTTTTTTTAACATAACAGCAGTCTTTCAAATGAGTCTTTAGCTGCTAATGCTGCATTTTTTACGGTAAATCTGTGTTGTTTTTTCATTTGAAAGGAAGTCAGCCACACTGAGGGTACGGTTCACTTTTTAATCTATAGCCCCAAAGTCCTTCTGAAGAGCCGTCGTGCTGTGCCTGTGGAACGCAGCAGACTGCATCATGTGGTTGGTGTCTTTCTGCAGAAGATCTCTATGCCTTTACAACTCTCACTTATATGCACCTACTACCTTCCTGGCATCTCTGTCTGTCCATAATTAAGTGAGGTGTTACCTGTCAGTGTCCATAGATGGAGGGCTGTCAGTCGGTTGGTGTTACCATATTGCTCGTGAACATTTTGTTCCACAGCTGCAGTCATGTGCATGCTAGAGCTGTGGTACTTCACACCAAGAGTTCATGTGCAAGCGTATCTGTTGGTTACTCATCACAAGTTGCGGGACATTAACCACAGCCCTCCATAGGGGCACTAGACATCTAGTGCAGATATGAAACAACATAGCTGGGAAACTGCAGCTGCCTTTAATTATGTGTATCATAGCAAAGATGAGCTCAAGGCTTTACATTTCAAAAGCCACCTTGGACTTGTTTCTCTCTCTCATTGCTAATAAAGACTTTAATTCCAGTCTGTGCATTTTTTCTTAGAGTAGCACCTTTGATTTTAGCATTACATTTTGAGGATGCTTTTTCTTTCCCCACACACACAGCTCTCCCCACATGGCCAGTGTAAAAGTAAACTTAGAATTCCCCCTGGCTGGCCCCAAAAGGGCCTTGAGATCCCTTCTACTATAAATTATTGCGTAATTGTGAAATGAAGTAAGAATTCAGCTTCTTATTGTGGAAAACACAACAGAGTAGAGTTAACTCTAGGGACATTTGAAGAGGTCCTGCCTGAAATCGAATTATGGTGGTTAAAATGAAAATTTACTTGAGCAACCCTGTTTGCAAGCACGGAGAAGTAGATTTTTTTACACAGTTGTAACA